ACGACTCACCTTTGCCACACTGCTGGAAATACCGTATGCGAAAACCTATAAAAAAGTGCTTTTGGATTCAAAAAAACTATGTCGGCAAAAAATGCCGCCTGCTCTATGAGGAAATGCCCACTGTGCGTTGTATTCAGTCGCTATACTAGTGATGCTGTATAGATAGTGCATTGCTGATTCGTCAACCAGTTAGATTAATCACATGGACTTCAAACTTCGAATTTAAAGAAAGAAACAGAGTTAAAGAAGAAGAAAGAAACAGAGTTAAAATCAAGCTAGAAGACAAAAGATTCTCACTCACTCACTGTCGGGTTAATCGGATGGAATGAATGACCATCGGACGAAATTAATCTACAATAAAGAAGAAGAAGAGCTGTTTTGAAGTGTGAACTCACTTGACGATGAAGTTCTTTCATCGGAGATTGATTTTACTAGAAGACGACAGGTTCCGATCCAAATGTGAAAAGGTAACAGGGGGTGCATTTCAATCATTTTTTCAGTCTGCAGATATTTGTATTTGGTCGACAGAAGTACTTCTCTAAACAGCATTGCTTCATTCAATAGAGTAAGCGCGGTTGCTTTAAGTGAGCGTCACCCAGTTTCGGTAGATTATTTCATGTTCACGATGATTGATCGATAAAAAAAGGAGACGAACGTTAGATTGGCTGAATCACACGTATCAATCCTGGTTATTTTGCTGTACTGTCTAATCTATTCTAAAGATTAGTGCTCGTGGCGCTCATTTCAGATCATCTTGTTCACTCTATGGAATGAAGAAATAAGAACACCTGCAGACTAAAAGTCAGCGAGATGCGCTTTTGATATAATTATTAAGTTGTGACCAATCATCTCAAAAGCATTGTCGGAACAGTTCGATGTATTTCAGTTGACCAAGCACAACATTTTGCTAGAAGAGTGAAAGAAAACTGTACTCGAATACAAAATAGATCTAGAAAGAGAGGAGCATCCAAAGCAATACCATCAAGATATTGGAACACTCGTTGGATGTTAATGATATCGGCAGCATGAATTTTGTAAATGCTTATTCAAAATAGTCACGAACTATCATCCTTTAGTTCGGCACTATAATAAATATTGGAATAGTGTTTCGTCTTAGTCATGCTTATTATAACACAGAATTTCTAGTAGAAAAGTGTTGTATTTGACTTATTGTTGCGCACTTGACTGTACAATCAGATACCTGACAGTGAAAAGAGCTTCTCGAGCCGAACGATAAACAACGCTCGAGAGTGGAGTGATAAACGGCTAAAGCGCAGAATGGAAGTCAGAAAACTCTACGGCAAACGAAAAAGTCTGAATAAACGCTCTGGCTGATCCCGAGAAACTCTTTTTTGTGCTAGAAACGGTGTTATTGAAAAACGTTTCGTCTCATCAACGAAAGAAAGGTCTAATCTTTGTTCATGAACCTTTCGAAAGTATCTGATCGATTTCTGGAACCTTTCATGTTCACTGGGACACCTTTTTTAACAGTGTAGGTCCATTCATACGTATTTATCTATATGAACGATCAGGGTTTTCGTAGTACGCATGAATTCCATGTCTTGCTGAACAAGTCGATTGATTATCGACATACCTGAAGATCTTCGAATCCCAAACATTCTCGTTTGAAAAAAATAACTCTCAAATACAGAGAATAATGGTTTTTCGAGACGCAATTGTTGTTGTATCGTGAAGAAAGGGAAACTACTTCGAAAGATTCTCTGTAAACATTTCGATCTATCATTTAAAAAACCCGGGACTGAAAGGGTTAATCGTTGTCTTTATATTTATTTGTAAAGTATAACATATTACATTAAAAATTTATCCTATTTGTTTGATTTCCATGGAAAATTGATTCCTTCAGGATCCAGATGTAGAATTTGATCTTTTGCATTAGTACAAATAATTTTTCCTGAATCTCCATCAATCAAAATTAATTTTGGAATTTCATTGACATGAAATTTGTTTGATAAAGTTTCTTTTTTTCTTCGTTCTTTGAAATCTAATGCTAACCAAGGCATATTTTTATAATAATCATTAAACGATTTTTCATCACTATCAGAACTTATAAAAATAATTTTAAAATTTTTTTCTCGATGATATTCTTTATAAATTTCACTTAATAATGGAGTGAAAACACGACATGGTGGACACCTAATAAAAACAAATTTTAATAATATTTAATAAAAAGAAAATGAATTTGACATACCAATGAGCACTAAAATAAAGACCAAATATTTTCCCTTTATATTTTTCGTCATTAAGATCAACTTCTTTATTTGATCTATTAATAATATGTCCACTGAATAATTTTGCGATACCAGCCATAAGCTTAATCTCTGTCTATGTGTAACCACGACAGGGAAAAGTATAGTAATATTTTGTCTCTTGATTTTTGACCGTGCACGATCGCCTTTTCTTTCTCGTCTACTAGCTTGATAGTGACAGAAAAGAAAAAGAAAAATATTGATGTATCTATATGCTCTGTATGAATAAGGTACTTATTTGTTGCCTTTGTCTGTGCTTTATCACGTTTGTTTTAGTATCGATCAAGGTGAAATATATTATTGAGAATAATTATATGAAAAAACATTGAATGAATCAGATAAGTTTTATTATGAGGAAAAACCAGATTCACAATTATTTTTTAGAATTTCAAAGGATGAGGGAGGGTTTGTCCACAAATCGGCCCTAATAGAACCTTTTTACTCAGAACCGTGATTGTCATATATAGTCTGAAAGAACTCAGCAAGCTGAGTATTTTTTGTCACGGAACTTGGTCTTCAAAACATTTCCTTCAGGAGTTCTAGTCATTTCAATTTCACGAGTTTACGATAACCTTGATGATTATCTTGAATAGAACTCTTTAAGAAAATGTCGCAGAGACCCAAGTTCCGTGACAAAAACGCTCAGCTGGCTGAGTTCTTTCAGGCCATATATGACACTTACGGTTTTCACCAGAAAAGTTTTCTTGTGACCGATCCATGGGCGCACCCGCCCCTGTCTTTCCTCGAGCGCAGTATCTTTTAGACTGGGTTTTAGCATGATCTTATAGATCTCAGTCAGCTCTATTTACTGTAAAAAGAAACTGCGGTGATTCACGGTTCCTTGGTAGAGTTCCCCTGTACCAGACTGTAGATGACCAGGTTCCGTCTACATCCTGATCAGTGTTGACCAGGGCAAGTACCCCAGCGCAGCATATCATAGACTATGTTTTAGCATGGTTTTGTAGCGTGTCCCAAGAGCTGTCGATGCTGCATAAACGGTCTTGTTTAGCTTATTCAACAGTTGAGACCGAGTCGGTATAATATAGTGACACCGTATGCAATAATCTCACAAATTAAGGAGGACACAACTTTTTTATGAAGTGTTCTGGAGACCAAGTGCTGTGACAAAAAATGCTCACTTCGTCGAGATCTATCAGGAAATATATAATCCTCAAGGGTCTGAGTACTTTTTCTATTAGGCCGGTTTGTGGAAAAACCCTCCTCCATCCTCTAGGTATTGGAAATGTGGGTGATGGTGGGTGTTGTTGTCTTCTTAACATCCTTACCCACAGCAATACCCGCATCTATAGGTATCAAGCTCTGGTTGGTGACCGAGCGTTTGTGATGATTTTTCTCAGCATTCGTCTAGATTGGCGAAAATATGAAAAGAGAGGATGCCGGTGAATGTCACCTACTACCACTTCGGAGGATCGGTTTTTTCCTTTGCTCGTATTTCCTCTATTTTAGTCTCCGCTGTTTTTTCTTCCTTCTTCTTTTCTTTTCCGTAATCGAGACACATAGCTTCAGAAAACATTTTTCCTCTTGTGGGGAAAAAGACCTTGCGGGCACTTACTGTTAACTTGAACATTTTCTAATAGGAATTTGTTGAATACCTGTGCTGTCGCAGCATCTGACGAATTAGGGTCTCATTTGGTTATCTTTTACTAAGATCGATACAGCAAAACGTTTTTCCTAATTAGTATTAGTTGATACACAATGGGAGAGCCGATTCTGGAACGTTTACTTTTCAAGGACTCCCATGAAAACATCACAGAAGAAAAACTAAAAATCTGTTTCGACGATTTGTTGCATGAATTCGATGTGCTGCAGAAGGAAGATTTTAATATTCAAGATGTTGACATGATTATTACTCATCTATTGAAAATCAATGCTGATCATTTCATCGAAGCAACGGTTCTTGAGCATCCTTTCTTTGTGAAAATCCAAGATTTGAGTATCAAATTATTACAAGAGAATAACATAGTCGTATAACTCTACTTACTTTATTCATGAAACTGTATTCCAATGGAAAAATAAATACTTTGTCGAAACTAAGTATTTTATTTTTCCATCCCCCATTACTCGACGCACTCGTTCATCAACGTATGAATGAAAGATTCTCCACTGTCATCGATGAGTTTCTGACCAAAATTCTCCCTCAAAAGTCACCATAATACTATTACTGCCGAGTGTTTCGTGAAACAGGACCCTTTCTTGACGAAGTCTTTCCGTTCTTATGTTTCTCAACCTACGTGGACACATTTAGACATTTATTAACTCGTCCTGTTGCGCAGCATGTAAACAGACTCGATGCTGTGAAAAATTTTATCTACTCCAATGTCCAGTTTATGTCTGTTTTTATCGAGAGAGCATAAATGCTATATGCATGTATCTACAATTATTCTCGACAAAATGCTGCATCATTATGTTAACGTACTGGATGATTACACAAAAATAATGAAAGATTGCTCAGAAACCATTATTGCACCAGTTCAGTGGCTCATGAACTTATTGCAATGCACATCAGTTTCTCATGAATTATATCAAAGGTTTACCGACATAAATAAAAGCCTTGTGCCTGTGATGTGGGGTTATCATTAATGAACTAAGCTTACAACTAAAATCGGATACAGCAATTTTACTTGCTTCCATCATTTCCCAAATGTTCTATGCAGCATTTCAGCCAATGCTTCTACTACAAATCAAGCAAATAAATATGATTCCGACACTCTTGGAACTACTAAATGATAGCAAAACGACAGAAATTCAACTAGCATCATGCCGTCTGTTATCGGTCGTGATGACTAAGGAAGAAATTCGAAACCGGTTGACGAACACAGCACAAATAACCATAATATTGCTAGTGGATTTTCAAAATCCAGTTTTCAATCCATTCTTCAAAATTCGGCTAGGTAATAGTCAGTTTTGTTTGAAAAGTAATGCATCTTTGCTAACATCATCTATATCTTGCTCATTATTTAGACTTAGCTAAAAATGATCAAATTAAAATGGAATTAGTCAAACGAAATGGTCTCGCATTTCTAAATGAGTGTATTACAGGAAAGCAACAAAAACTGGCTTTCGTGACGATATGCCAGCGTGCTCTTGAGATTGTTTTCGAATTAATCCAGAATGAAACGGCATTAGCACTTCTTCAGCAAAACCATCTTTTATTATATCACATTGAGAAACGACTTTTATCATCGTCTGACTATGGCGTGCGACAGGCAGCCAGAGTGTTCATGAATAAATTACGAACACAAAAAGACTCGGTCTGTGTGAAAAAAAAACAAGACCCGAACACGAAAGTTCTTGATCCCTTGAGAAGTATCAGCACTAACAGGATCCTAATTAGTTATCATCCTACCAATCGAGACATGTGTTATAGGTTTAGAGACTATGTTAGGAATGATGAATTTCTAGGGAATCTCGATCTAAATCCGGTTGGAAGATCAATGGCCACAACCGCAGATGATACCGGTGGACCTCAATGATGCTGACGGATAGAGAGAGTTTAAGGTTTGCTTAATATCACTGATTTGCTTATTATCAGCATCAGATAAGAGTCATCAGAATTTACAACAGATTTGAAGCAGCTTTAGAACGTTTCTTTCACTGTAATTCTCATTTATTTTTTATTCAATTCATTCAATTTTCATTTCACATTTGTGAAACATCTTCATTATCGCTTTCGTCACTATCATCAACTGGATTTATTAACGAAAGTATGCGATCTAGTTGTTGTATCATCGGATCTGGAGCTAGTTTGTTGCTGTTTCTTGGAGCAACAGAACTGCTTTCAATTTGATGTTTTTTGTTTTTTGTTGTTCTCGCTGTTCGTCTCGGTCCTTCAGATTTCTTCTTTGCTGCTTCTTTCTGTGTAACTGCTTCCAGTATGTTATCATCAGTTAAATTGACTCCAAATGTGTTGTTCAATCTCGATCCTCTTTTCGGTGGTGGTTTCAATGATTGTTCTTGCTGTTTTTGTCTTTGCAAAAACTTTTTTCTTCGAGGGTGTAAAAAACGCCATGTATTTGAATGGGCCTGCCATAAATAGGAACAAAAAATAGCTTGACTGCCATATTTGAGAACATGCAAGAACGCAAAAGAATCGAGCACGCCTCTTCTTTTTATCATTGTAATTAAGTCAAACTAAATTAGTTTTGAAAACTTTTTACATAGTTAGATGGAGAATCGTCTCCTCTATCCCGGAATCTAAAATTCCCTCTTATCACTTGAAAAATGGCTGAGAAAATAGAGATTTACGAAAAAGAAAAATTTTCCTGCCACAATTAGGAACACTGACTCTACAGTGGCATACACTTCAGCGATGATTTTCTTTCCTTTTTTCTTTTCTATTTTCTATTCACGTTATAAACTATTTGAAATAAAGAAATATACTATGACCAGAACTTTGCAATATGTTCAAACACTAGATAAACACAAATTTATACCAATATAGGTAACAAGAAACAGCACAAAGACTAATAAAATATGCATCAGGTTCGTTTTGGTAAAACAAGTTCTAAGAGGCTCAGTTCTACAACTCTCTCTCACTCACACATACACACATATATACATATTTAAGAGAACCAATTAAACGTTTACAGCTCATCGAGCATCCGATCAATTCGATCATACGGTCAAAAACTAGTGTCTAAAAAATCATTGTAGCAATTAATTGCTTCCCGCATCATTCCTGTGATTGTTGTTCTTGTTGGATGATCAGCACGAGTTGGAGAGGCATTATCCACACTTATATCAACTGAATGCTGATTAACATCGTTTGTATGCTGCTGAGATTGTCTGGCAGCTTGACCCCGTCTACTAGTCCGATTTCCTCTAGTTGCAGCTGCTAAAGATTTAAAAAATAGTATAATTATTAATGACGTTGATCCGTAGGTTCAGAAAAGCATACAAACGATCTTTTAGCATTTAAATACCCACTTGGCTGTTGGTTAGCAATTGTTGGTGGGCAACAGCACCTGATGTGACTGATTGTGAAGGTTGTTGAAACGTTAGTGGTTGTACATAGGAAGGTGATGGATTGATTGCCGAGAGAACCTGAAGAGTTTGACCAACCGTTTGATGAAAAATCGGTGTTTGTCTTGTCACGACTCGACGAACAGAACTTGTTTGCCGATGGCCGAAATCAGTGAATGAGCCGTCGAGAGAATCGTGTTCAAAAACATCTGCTGCTTCTACAAAGTGTTGTAATATTTGTTCTTTGGCATTTTTTGTGCCTGAAAAAGGTTCCCGATTGCTAGAAAATGGCTGTTGAAGGGGCGAGAGTAAGAACGGGACAGGTAACGTGGCTCCTGTAGCCAAATTGTTTACAATGCTGATGACTGATACTGAAGGAGATGTCAGTAGCTGTTGTTGTGGGGGAACCAATCAAAACAGGTGTTGATAACACATCAATTGATAATTGACGAACTATCAAAGAATGTGTATACGTAACATACAAATGTGATATATCGATGAAAAAAGAAAAGGATATATACGTCTTATCTGCATGAAGCCTATAACGTTGATACACACTATATAGCGTGAATAAGAAAAGAAAATAGAAAAGAAAAAAGAAAAGAAAATCGCTGTTTGTCGCAGCTCTGTTGAGTGAAAGAAAGCGACCGCAGTAGAAAAAACAATTATGAAAATGCCATATAAATTTCAATGCGAAGCAGTTCTCAGTATGAAGAGCCCCCCTTAGATAAACTTTGGAATAGTGCATTTTATAGAGCGAACGTGCACACAGTTTCTGGCAAAGTTTGGCTTCTGTTCACTTCTGTTGTGAAGTAAACGACTCACCTGACTCACGCAAACGACTGAGAAACATTGAAATCGATGAAAAGTCTCATTTTTCTCGATCAATATGCGGCAAGCAGAAACGTTGAATATATCAGCTTGTAGCCCAAGACGATATCTACAAAAGTATAGATTGGAAATATTCTTTTTCCACTTCTTGTGATTGACACGAAAATCCATATGGGTCCAGATGGCTATCGTGACGGCCAACCAGACAATTGAGTCTAGATCCTGTATGCTGGTATGAAAACGAACTTCACTATATACTGTTCGACGTGTCTTGAGCTGCTCTACAAGACTGTATACTTAGCTGCTTGTTTCAAGAGAGGTCACCAAATCCGCCAGGGTCCTTTAACGAAATCATTGAAAACTAATAAGAGCTAGCTAATCGATATACATGTAGAATCAAAAGTATTTTTCTTGTCCGTCAAAGTTCTAAAAGCTCTTGATGACTAGTTGTTAGAGCATTCTGATATATGACGTTCTTTCTTCGTTTTTATTCACTTTCACCATTCTCTGGCATTTTCACTGCTTTCGTCCGTCCTTAATATATCCTTATAAAAGAAAAATTTATATGACAACAACAACAACAACAAGCCTGTCATTCAATTCCTGCAGACGAAATTTGCATGAGTAGATCTGCGCAGACCTTTTTGTACATTGACTGTGTACCTCTTCTATATTTTTTCTCATATGTATATAAAGGAGTATTGTTCACAGAGTCAGTCAGATAGCCTCGTATCGTTCATATGGTCGTCTTTTTTCATTTTTTTTGTCACCGTTTGCTTTTTATCTTTTAAATACACATTTTTAAACCATCGGCGATCTCTTGATCCAAGAATAATATTATAGTCTGCAGATTCGGATGTTATGCAGACTATAGTGTTATTTTTGGATCAGGAAGTCGCCGATGGTCGTGTATTTAAAAGATAAAAAGCAAACGGTGACAAAAAAATGAAAGACACCAACCATACGAACGTATACCGACTTATGACAATCACTCTTTTATATAGCCACGGAAAAGAACGTCTTAATACAGAATGCTCTAACTAGTTTTAAGATATACTCTGCCTTAAAAGTCTAATTTTCTACTATATCTTCTGTAATCGATATTTCTGGATTTTTCTAGTAGAACATAACATGTTTCAAACAACAACAAGCAGAGCATCACTGTGTATTCTTTGCCAAAACGTAACACCTAGTTGTGGTCCATTATGTCGTGGTTATAGCTCTCTCAGTCGTGATGTACAATTTTTAAGAGCTTTGGAAACATTACAAGAAATTGCGGAGAGCGGATTCTATGATGATCAAACTGATATCGATATATATGCTCAATACAAATTGCTCGAGTAAATCACTTGTCCACCTATAATAAATTTTCGTATCATTCTAACCGTTAAACTACTTTAGACAATTAACACGTTTATATGAGCCTTTGAATTATTCACCCATCGAATTCATTACAGGAACATCGGCCGATAATATTGACGTAGTGGCAAATGATTACAAGATAAAATATACAAATGCTGATATAGTAAGTCACCTAGTCTCCTGGAACTGTTCGTGTGA